AACAGTGGATATGGTTGCCCCGCCACCCTGGTGCGCAACCAGATGTATGCTCACCTGGAAGTGTGTCCAGCTGGACTTGTGTGCTGTACTATGGAGTGGAACAGATGGCCTGTTAGCTGCCTGGATTATACTTCCTATGAAAGCCTGAGCCGTGGTGTGGAAGAGGTGGAGCAGCTGGACATGGCACTTGCCCTTCAGGACCAGCGTACACTGCTGGAGTCCCTCAAGGTGATTGCCATGGCACCTACTGCACAAGGAGAGCCACTTGTCAGTGTTAGTAAAGAGAACAGAGCGACACACTCCACTTTACAAACATGTGCTCCTAAGGCCTCCTCATTTATTCAGTCACCTTCCCCGCTGCCAGCCACGCATCAAGCACAGCCACACCCACCAGGCTCAGCAAAGGAGAAAATTTTCAGTGGAATTAATGGCTTGAATGAAGAGCACTTTGGTAAACTGTATGAGGCCACAGTTGAGACTGCAAGAAGCTTAGCTGCTGCTTTAGACTTTGTTAGCAGTGCCAGCTCTGGTGAAACCAGCGCAGAGCGTGTGAACAAAGAAGCTGCTGTACAGAAAAGTAGATTGAGCAACAATGGAGACTTTCAGAATGGACTGGAAGACGAAACACCTGCAGCTTCAGATAGTTTGCATAAAAGCGGCATTGAGGAGGAAAGTGTTTGTTCAAGCTGCTTGAGTGGAAATGGGTCTCTAAACGAAACAGACGTAATGATTGTGAATACAGCCAATGGACCATTTTTAGGGGCACCTGAGGCTTGTCTTGAGACGGCCTGTCCCATTGAGGTTCAAGATAACTTGCACGCTGATGACTCTCAAGAATTACTTGCCCGTCAAATGGCACCTCCACTCCATGTCAGAAAGCCTGTGGCACAGAGGGCTGGTCATATCGTTCTAGAAGATAGAGGGCTCTTTCTTTCAGAAAACCATGGGGTCAAGAGGAACTACCAGACCTTTAGGGGCCCAAGCCAATCTTCATTTTCTAATGGTCAGATGGGTATCACTCCAGGCAGGTCATTGTCTAGGTTCCAACCCGTAATGGAGGACAAGGCAGTGGATACTTCAGAGCTAGAGCAGGATGACGACCCCATGGGTCTAGGAGAGATCGATCTGATCACAGCAGCCCTGCTCTTCTGTTTAGAGGAGTCTAGAGAGTGCAGAAGGATCTCTGATACAGTCTATATTGATGGTTACCATGTTAACTTTGGCACACAGACTTTCACCTTTCCTGCTGCAATCTTAGTAACTAACACCAGAGTGGGTGACATGGCCTCTGCTTCTGCCTGCGACCATGCTGCCCCACAGATCTCCTACCCCAGCCCTTTCCGTACCCTCCGCTTAGGTCTCGTCCTGGAAGCTCTGGAGGTCGAGGCAGTCCCCCATAACCGTTACCTCCCCCCTAACCCCCGCTACCAGCATATGTTCCCCTTTGTCTGTGGTCAGTCATTCCGCCGGGACCAGTTTTCATCCCATTTCACAAATGTCCACGGTGACATTCACGCTGGTCTCAATGGTTGGATGGAGCAACGCTGCCCCCTGGCATATTATGGCTGCACGTTTTCCCAAAGAAGATTTTACCCATCTGTCCAGGGGGCAAAGGTGATTCATGACAGGCACCTCAAATCCTTTGGAGTCCAGCCTTGCCCTAAAGCAAAACTTCCAGGTGACTCCCAGTCAGACCAGTTTAGTGGGCTTCCTATTGAGATACTGTGGCACATAGCTGGATTCCTGGACAGTTTCAGCTTGTGCCAGCTGTCATTGGTATCAAGGACTATGAGGGAAGTGTGTGCCAGCCTCCTTCAGACCAGGGGTGTAGTGGACCTGCAGTGGGAGCGAAGACAAAGCCCTGGTCCTCATGGCACTGTGTCATGGCAGACGAAAAATAAAGTAAGCAGAAATCCAGTGTACTGTACTTTATACTGGTGTTTAACTATTTCTCTAAAATAGTTATTAAAATTTCTTGTTAGCACCAATGTATATAGCTATCGTACTACCTATATTAAATGCAAAGTAATATATAAAAGGCCAGATTTTAAAGATAATAAATCAAAAACTACTTTTTTTATTTACTACCCCAGGTTTGGCGATTCAGCACTGCCTTCAGCCCGGTGTTATCGTGGGGCTTCACTGATGTCCCCAGCATGTCGAACCACCTTAAGAAGTGCCACTTCAACAATGTGGAGCACAAGACCGAGCCTGTACCCCTTCCTGCCATGTGCACCGCACGGGATGGACACTCACTCCGTCGTGTCCTACGCCATGTTAACATCTGACCAAACACAACCGACCAGTCAAAGCTGCATGAGATTCACTGCCGTAATCTGTGAATGCTGCAACTAAAAAAAAAATCTCTTCCTGCATTACACTAGATTATGAAGAAGCCTTAATGAAAACACTTCACTTGCCAGGTTTGTTGTGTGTGTGTGTGTTTGAGGTCCCTGTGGAGAGAGAGAAATAAAACAAACATTTCACTTCGCATGGATATGATCTGAAAATACGCACTTATTCTGATAAGATGAACTATATTTTCTTGAGTACAGATATGCACAGTGGATTTATATTATTCTATGTGATATGATATCTATATTAACAGGAATTTAAATGTTTTCACACTCTTGCCTTTCAGTAGTAGCCATGGGGAAAAGCAGATTGTTGTTTTTGTTTGTTTGCATAATTTCTGTCTGTCAGAAGGTATGCTAGCACTTTATATAATATTTGCTATTCCCTCTTCAATGACCCTAAATGATATAGCTCTGATCTCTTTAAGTGTCAGCCAAGTGCAAACTTGTTATCTGGGTGTGTAGGATGTCCGAATGTGAGTGTAAACAGATGGATAACACAGAAATGCATGTGCTTTAATACAGTTTAATAAAGTCTTTACAATTTTTGTAAAGTTATTTCTTATTTTTGGAGGGTTTGTTTAATTTATTTATTTCTACTACTGTAACTAGGCTAGTATAGTTAAATCACAGTTAAATTATGTCTTTCTAAAACTAGTATTTCAGAAACTGTTGATCTACTGGTATTTCCTGCAGAACCATCTCTTGAGTTTAAAGAGAATGGTCTTCAAAATATCAAGTGAGCATCAGTTCCCTGGACATGTGTTTGCCATGTGTTCCCTAAACACATGGCAAATTTTGAAAGAGATGAACTATAGTATCAGATGACGCCACCGGGTGTTACTCCAGTCAGGTACAAACCAAAAACTGAGGCTACAATTTGCAGAGGCTCACCAAAATTGGACATTATAATATTTGAAAAACGTCTCATGAGTCTCCATTTCTGCTGCAATACATGTCTGTAAACATGAAAGCATGATTCATCCTGACTTGTATCAACAACTCAGACCACTGCTAGTGGTGTGATAGTGTGTGGGACAGTTTCTTGGGACACTTTTGGCCTCTTGGTACGGATTGAGCATTATTTAAATAGTGTACCCATCTTCCGATGGCTGCTTCCGGCAGGATAACGCCAATGTCGCAAAGCCGATTTCATCCCAAACTGGTGTCTTGAACGTGGAAATGAGGTCGTTGTACTCAAATGTCCTTCACAGTCACCAGACCTCAACCCAGTACAGCAGCTTTGGCATGTGGTGGAACAGGAGGTTTCATCCTGGCTGTGCTGCCAATAAATCGGCAGCAGTTTGCAGATTTTTTTGGCCATTATTGCAATCTATGAAAACACTGCATTTAAAAACTATAGCTACATCTATTATTGTCATCAACTCTAGAATAACATTTACGGTATAATTTAGATTAACCTCAGCTAAATTAATTATAAAACATTTTCACCACTTCTTTTTCTAGTCAAATATCAGCATTAAAATATTCATAAACAAATACAACAGTATTTATATTCTCCTGGTGAAAATACAGGAAAACTGTGGTATTTACTCAGTGATAAAAATCATCTACATTTTATAATTGTGTGAAAATATTTCTATTGCGTCTAGTACTAGATTTAGCATCAGTGTATTTATATTTTACATTTGCATTTAGATTATTCTTAATTCAAAAAGTACATCTACTACTAATGTTTTTGATTATTAATTATATTTAACTAATAATAATTATTCTCTTTTGGGTCTGACAGGATCAAACGGTTCATGAAAAACATGTTTCCTCAGAGTCTGTACAGCTGCTCATCCTACCTACTTGCAGGTATGGGAAAGAAGTCTGACTAAAATGAGCTACAGCTCCATCTGTTGGCCAGATAACATCACTGCAAAGTCTGGACTCAATCCCCAACTTCTACTACAGAGATATAATATACTAAATGCTGCTTCCTTATTCACAAGAGGTTGTCACAGTGGGTAGCTTTACATGTTTAATTTAGCAGGGGTTTTTTTTGCCGGATGCACTTCCTAATGCAACCCCAAAGGGATTTGTTTCTCCTCCCGGAATCATATAGTGAAACATCATTAGCAAGTGAAGATTAAATTAACAGAATAAGCAGAACAAGCCAACCAATCATCTAGCTGGTCCAGCCAGCAGCCCACAGCCAGGCTCCACCATCAGCCCACAGCCAGGCTCCACCATCACCTAGCAGGCCACAACCAGGCTCTACCACAGGTCTACCAGGTCTATCCGTCAGTCAGCATGTTATCCTCGGTAGTCTTTTTTCCTTTATTGCTTTTATTGACAGCTTTTTGTCTACATGAGGTGCAGAAACAGTCTGTGGAGCAAGAGAAACCATACTTCTTACTCCTCTCAAAGGGAACAAGGTGGGATTTTACATCTTTTAGAAGCTGTGATTATCAGCAGAGATCTCATTTCAACTGATTTAACTGATTTATTTATTCCAATATGTGTAAAAAGAAAATGTTTTATTGTTCTTCTGCTTCTTTTATCTGGAAATGTGCAACCTAATCCCGGTCCAGATTGCAAATGCTTAAGTACTCCTTGTGATTTTAAAACTCGAACAGGTCTTGGTATCATTCATTGAAATGTCAGAAGTCTTCTTCCCAAACTTGATTTTGTGAAAATTTGGATGAGAGAGTTAGATACCGATATTCTCATATTATTAGAAACCTGGCTTACAAAATTGATTACTGACAGAGGCATAACGGGCTATAATCTTTTCCGTTGCGACCGCCCCAGAAAGGATGGCGGTGTTGCAATTTATGTAAAAAGCAAATTCCATGTTACTGTCGATTCATCGGTATCTGTTCGTAAACAGTTTGAACTTCTTGCCCTCAAGCTCCAACTTTTCAAGGGCTATTTTATTACCATTGTGGGTTGTTATAGACCCCCCTCGGCTAGTAGTAGATATTTTTACCAGCTTTGTTAAGTATATAGCACTATTATCCGATGTGTGCAAGGACACCGAGCTGCAGGAATGGATCAATGAGATATTTACACACGGCGTCTTAGGAAACAAACTCTCTGGTAAATAATAAATACCCTTAATTATATTTGTCAAATAAAGCCTAGGTTATAATGAAAAATATAGTGACTGACAGTGAGCGTTCTGTTAACAGGGTTTCCGGCATCCTTTAATACTGTTGAGGAGGTGATCAAGTTTATCACCATGGTGATCTTCACAGTGTCAGTTCAACATGCTGCACTCAATAATGGACAGGTATGACAGCACGCTATGTAATTATGTTTGATCAAGTACAGTGAGTCTTTGCATCTCCAATAAGGAATTGATTCAACTGCCTTTTGGCCACAGAGAAGTGTCTCTATTCTATTCCATGTTTCCCTGGTTTGCATTTTTGTAAAGGATACATACTGCAGCAGATCCAGAGAAACACCTCATAATTTAACAAGAAATTTAGGAGCATTTGGCTGAGTCAAGTCATTCCAAGTTACTGCACCCAGTTCTTTGGATCATTGTCCCATCATGCTGCGATAAGCTGAGTTATCAGATTTTATGCAAACATGTGAATGTTGTCAAATTCTGACATTCTGAAACCAACTACATTTTCCAGATATTCAACTTTCACCTAATGTTATCATAAGGTGAAGCAAAAATCAAAAAACACACATTATGGCACGCAAAATCTTGGACCACATTTATCATTTATATAACTATATAAAACATTTAGTAAAATCTTCTTTGTCAGTTATTCTCTCCGACTATAATTCCCTTTGCTTTATGTATCAGAAAAACATAATAGAAGAATAATAGAATTTGCTGTAGCTCTGAAGATATTGATAGATAATGTTTAACATGAGAACAGATATCTACCCTTATTTACATAGATACAATAGCTATGTCCTTTGTTTGAAAAATAAAGCAAGTCATTTATAAAAACTTGTTTCATTCTAGTTTGACTACAGCTCCTGGATGCCCTATGGCTCAGGCTTGCTTCACAAACCTGCTCCAACCACAAAGGGGCAGTCAAGCATGACGACATTATTGGAGACTCTTCCAAATATTGGGGAGACAGTAAAGTTTGCAGGAATGCTTTGGGTACTTTTCCACAAGTATACAGATGTGGTATGTATCTTTTTTTGCTTTTCATGCTTTATTTATATTCCTTTAAAAAAAAAAAGAGTATCACAAATAAAATATTGTTAGTCTGACTAACTAACTTTGCTTCTGCAGGTTCTGTTGGGTCAGTACCCTGAAGAACGATTCGATGAACCTACCCCGAAACAAATGATTAAAGAGTTTCAAGCAGAGCTGTCCTACCTCAGTGAAGAAATTACAGCAAGAAATTCTCGGCTTGAAGTACCCTACACATATCTGAACCCGACTGAAATAGAGAACAGTGTAACCATTTAGTCAACAATACATGGTATCCTGCTTTCTTTGTCTATAATTCTGGTACATATAGTACCAAGTGAGGTGACGCTGGCAGCTTCTCAGGTTTTATATGTTAGTTGTATCATGATAAATAGGCATGTTCATTTTTTGTATCTACTGTGTATTACATAGATTAAGAGATTAGTTTGGGGACATTGGGGGACTTTTTTTTTTTTACAATAAAATGATAAAATGGTTTTTAATTTGTTAGAATTTCATGCTTTTTAAAGAATATACATACAATTAAAATAGTTTGTTCCTATACGCCTAAAAGTAGCATGCACATCTGAGACTATCACTCCTTTTTTTTTGGTTGTAGGAGGCACATGATTGACACATAGTGTGTGCATAGCTAATGTTACCAAGGATATGTAAAGGTTAGTTCTTCTTTTACAATGCTGAAGATTTAGACTGTGAGCCAATGTAAGGTTTATAGCACAGTTGTCTAAAATAAAAAGCACTGGTAATTACCAAAATCATTTTTTATGTTTCTGTAATGGTTAGTGCAGCAGTATGCACGAGCTGCATTGTAAGTATTGTTATCCATTAATTTTCAAATTTACTGTTTTATAAAAAAAGAAGAAGAAATAGTAAAGCTCATTATTTTTTAATTAAGATACCAAATTTTATTATTTACTTGCATTCCTGAACAGAAAAAAATATATGCTTGGTTCAAGTCCAACGTGTTGGCTAAAATTTGGGTATAAAAATGTGAACTCACTTTATTTCCCTAATAACAATATAATTCTTAATTTTAAACAACTTTTTGGGAAATTTCTAAAATATTTATTTTGTGTTTTCATGACAGATGGCCTAACAAATATGTTAAGCAATGTACAATATACATTTTTTTCACTTTCTTTTGAAAGGAGGAAATTTATTCATGACAGAACGGTGGGAACAATCACTCTTTGTGTAAAGCTGTATGTTTTAATTTTCATCTTGCTGTGACATTAAATACCAATAAAGAAATACTAATGAGGCGCAGCAAATTCAAGCATTAAAAATCTCTTTGCATCTCTGATTTCTTTTTCTGTAGTTTCCACAATGCAATCATGGGTAAATAAAAGCTAAAGGTGACAACAGCTCGCACGCATTACGCATGTGAGCTGTTGTCACTAGACCACATATACAGTACATCACTTTATGTGGAACAGAAAGGGGAGTGGACAATTTCAGCCGAACATTCAGACAGTGATTCTCAAAATAAATCTTGGAAAATAAACTTTTATATGTAAATGTTATTCTTTGTAAATAAGGACTGTGACTTTAAAGCCTGTAGATTTTTAAGATGTTAATCATTATCTGACTTTTATCACGAATCAGATTATTTTCCTGGTGATGCCTGAGGGAGGTGGATATCTTGGAAGAGAAGAAAAACACACCCGAAACAAACATCTTGCCTGACCAGTACTGTTTTCCAGTAATGAGAAACAGATTTTATGTTCCAATACCAAACTTACATTTAAACTTTGACAACACTTTCAAGTTAAATCATCTGAACTCGTGTTAAATAAGTCACGGTTATCTATTGTACACTGTATCATACATTTGTTTAATATCATTTTAGGAATTGTAGGAATGGCTGTCACTATGTGTACTTTGATTTTTTTTCCCCTATATTTTAACTTGACTTTGTACATATTAACATACATACATACAGACACACACACACACACACACACACACACACACACACACATATATATATATATATATATACACATATATATATATATATATATATATATATATATATATATATATATATATACACATATATATATATATATATATATATATATGTGTGTGTGTGTGTGTGTGTGTGTGTGTGTGTATATATATATATATATCCCTCATATATAAAAAATTTAAAAAAAACACCCAGCACGCCCCTGCGGGCGGTTTATCCTTCAAGCTCGGGTCCTCTACCAGAGGCCTGGGAGCTTGAGGGTCCTGCATAGTATCTTAGCTGTTCCCAGGACTGCGCTCTTCTGGACAGAGATCTCCGATGTTGTTCCCGGGATCTGCTGGAGCAACTCGCCTAGCTTGGGAGTCACCGCACCTAGTGCTCCGATTACCACGGGACCACCGTTACCTTCCCCCTCCACATCCTCTCGAGCTCTTCTCTGAGCCCTTGGTGTTTCTCCAGCTTCTCGTGTTCCTTCTTCCTGATATAAAATCCCAAATGGGATCAAGAGGTGCACAGAACGTCGTGGCGGGAACGTGTCATGTGTCAAAGATTAGGAAGAGGGGCAGTTCAGGGTGTGGTAATGCACGGTTACTGCTTTTTAGATGACTTCCAACAGGACTGTAAATACAGAGGTGTAATAGAAGTTGGTACCATTGGAAATCTGCATTATAAATGGGTTGGGGGTTTATTCAGAAGCATCAGTACAATATCTTTCAATATATTTTCTATTACAGCTGCATCAACAGCCTTCTGAGCAGAACCACATCTTTCTGCCCAGTGACTCAGAGGCAGAATGGCTGCTAGCCAAGCTGTTTATTAAAAGTGCAGATCTATTGGAACATCAAGCAGTCTATCACCTCATGAGCACTCACTATCTGGCAGAGGTCTTTGCTATTGCTACTTTCCGCACCTTCCCTGAGATCCATCCCCTCTACAAGGTGAAATTTGGTGAGATACACTATAAAACCCTTCTATAGTGATGTTTCTATATTACTTAAATCATTTTATATCATATAGAGGACTTTATTCTGATCTTTATTCAAATTTTTACTTTGATAATTACCTTCTATGTGTACAGCTACTGATCCCACACTTCCGGTACACCCTGCACATCAATATATTTAGAAATTTCAACTAACACCTATCTGATTACCAACAAAGTTCACTTGGATATGAGGGGATAAAAGAGCTCATGAGATGCAGTCTCGCTTCCTGCAGCTCCCTCTGCCTGACAGAGAACATCACTGCATGAAGACTGCAGTCGATCCCCAACTTCTATTACACCTCAGCATTAAGTTAAGAGTATGAAAACTGCTACAGTATGAACTTTTTTTTCAATCATTATATATTTAACAACAACCAACACGTTCTCACTCCCAACTCATCAAACGTGTGACGCATGGTCAGGCTCCCTCTGCTTCACTTATGGACGCGCAGGGTACCCCCCTCGCGTCGGGAATTGACGTGAAGGGTCCTCCGATTGAAGAGATTGCTGCGGAAGTGCCTGTTGTCGGTATATTGTACTGACAATATAGTGGCTGATGCACTCTCACGCAGCTCGCAATAGGGTGTTGTTGTTGTTGTTGTTGTTGTTGTTGTTGTTGTTGTTGTTGTTGTTTTGGTAGGGCTTCAATGTAAGGGGGGGGGAATGTTACGTTCTGTGAGGCTGTGGGAGTGTGTGGGTGGGGTGTTTGCCCACTCTCCCCGCCTCCACCCCTCTTGCCACTCCTACCCCTCTCTGTCTCTCTCACTCTCCTCTCTCCCCAGGACACAGCTGCTGCTGATTAGCCTCGTTTGCCACCTGACTCCAGTCAGCAATCATCCTCTGAGGCTATTTAAACTGGGGATGAGCTGTGAGCAGGGTGGCATTTTCCTCGGTGGCTCTACGCGTTTCTGTGCTAGATTTTTGACAGACAGCCTCTTTCTGACCAGTGAGCAGACGGGCTTGTGGGCCCTGAGAGTGTCTTCCCGTGGTGGGGAGTAGGGTAGGAAGTGTGGGAAGTGCCTCCTTTTTTATTGTTTGTTTGGTAGTCTTCCTGCTGCGAGCGTTTTCTTTGTTTCTTTGGCGTTGTTGGTAAGACGGCGTTGCCGGCCCTTTAAGTTAATGTCGTTTGTAATCCACCTGTACCATTTTGTAATAAAGTTCTATTAATACAGAACAACTCTGTCTGTTTTCCTTTTCATTCTGGTTCCGGACTCATTTGTTACTGGTCCCCTCACTCACATGCCTAGACCCCTTCGGGGGGAACGTAACAAAGTGGGGGCTCGTCCGGGATATGAATGGAAGGAACAGCGATTGAGTTTTAGTGAGTTGTTTGCCGGTGGCCTGGTTAGTTGTGTTGTATCTGCTGCGCTCTCTCTCCAGTTAGCGAAAGGGGAGTGTCTAGCTGAGCGTAAGCTCCTCCTTCAGGCACTCGTTTTTTATTTTTCCTTTATTTTCGGAGTAATCCTGGGTGGGGATTAGTTCCCTGTCGGGGGTAGGCTTGTTGGTGCTTTGTGCACTTGATGCTTAGCCTTTAAAGTTGCCTCGAGCCTGGTACACTCCAGAAGCTAACTAGGCTAAGATTTTAGTAGGCAGGTCTGGGGAGAGGGTCGGCGGTATTTTTATTTATTGGTTAACCTGTGGCCACACTTTTCCCGCCTGTTTCTCATTTGTGTATTGGAGGTGGTGTTTCTTTGTTGTTATTGTTAGCCTCAGGTAGTTTTTGTTTTAGAGTCAATGGCTACCTTTGATATTGCAGTGTTTAAGGGTGAGCGTGGTGCAGCGTCTCAGCCCGTTCCGCAGGCGCCAGCTCAAGCTGTAGGTCCATTGGTGTCGACACCTGTTGATCAGGGGCTGCCTGAGGACAAACCCATGACAGTGCCTCGCTTCGAACCCCTCTCCACTGAATCAAGTGAAGGCTCGAAGCTGGATGCTAAGCTCCGTGTACGCCTGGCTCGTCTCAGTTAGAAAAGGAGGATCGTGAGAGGGAGTTCCAGCTAAAGAAAGAGCTGGAGCTTAGGCGTTTAGACGCAGAGCTTGCTAGAGCCAGGGAGGTCGAGTTGAGGAAGGTGGAGGTGGAGGCAGACAGCTGTGAGGTTGCGACAGCTGGAACTCCAGCAGGTTTCCCTTCCTCCGACTGCCTCCATTCGTCAGGCCGACACCTCGTTTGACGTAGGGAAAAACAGTCGTCTGGTTCCGATGTTCCGTGACATTGAGGTCGACAGCTACTTCGAGTCGTTTGAACAAATAGCCACGGCCTTGCACTGGCCACGGGATTCGTGGGCCATTTTGCTCCAATGTATG